GAGACACTGGGTAGTACAACAATCAACCAAGTCGTGGCGAAGACATGTTGGAAGATCAATGAGGTGTATAGTTGTGGCGAGAATATTCGAGACACTAATTTGCACAATGACCTCAAGGACTTTAGGTTTAATCCGGTCAGTGAGTGACTGATTCAGCGTAATATAAGCGGACGGGAACGGCCGCTTGAGACTCACCATTTGTCGTCACATTTCGTCATCAAAGCACGACATATATCACATGCTCGCTTCCTACTCTTTGTTAGGTATGCCTCTTGGCAATGTGTGCTGGGATTTGGCCACTGCCCGTGGTTCTCTCCTAGATGTCGATCGCTGGCAGTGGTTGAGGCCATGACTCTGGGGTCTGTTTTTTCGCCAAGATTTATGGAGCGTGTTCTCAGAAACCCCCAAAGGGTGCACGCCAGAGTACCTCGCTCACAATGCCGAGATAAATGGGTGAAGAGGGCTTGAGGGCCATCATGGGTATTCGGAAGCTGAAAAAGCATGGTGGCGCAACCGAGGACATCAGCTGCTCCTGCAAAGCTGTGGATGCAGCACATAAAAACTTAATTGTTCTCTTGACAAATGCGGTACAAAATTTGCTGGACTACAAAGATAGTGCGATCCAATAGCTGTAGCCTCCCGTCTATCCGGATTTGAACGGTCAAGTGGATACAACACTTGAGGTAGAATTAACCGACGCACAATTCGAAGTTCGTATCGGCTGGCGGTAGGCAAGGATCCTCTGTCACTTGTCAGACTCATTGCCGGCCGAAGGATCTTAGAGACGAAATGAATGGCCCTTAAAGGCAAAATTCCCAAAAGTGTTCTGGAAAATTGTGACCATCTACTGAGCGACTTTTTAGATGACTGTCTGTTCCGCTCTTAGAATGCCTTGGTTCTACCGAGACGAACAGACCTGCTCGGATCTTCCCAGCACAAGACGATGATGAGGACGAGGCAGAGGGCAGCGCATGCATTAGGAGGTTCGAACAAACAAGGCAGAAGACGAGAGTTGGGAATAGGGCACGCCTAGGGTGCCATTCAACTGGTGGACGTTCAACTTCACTTTGGCCTCCAAATGATCAGCTCCACTGGACAGCATCGTTGCCCGGTCACCTCATCGTAACTGAGGCATTGCTCGCCAGGGCCTCCTCCTACAGCCCGCACTTCATAACAATTTCCTCGTCCTAGCCGCATAGAGGCTGTAAATAGCTACTGTCATCTCTCAGACTCGGGACAAGTCTCTGTTTTCTGTACGCCTGACAGATCGTAGCTCGAGCGGGGTCTCGGGTCCATCATTCCGAACCCCGGTGCGATCGTCGGCGCCGCGCCTTGTCTGTCGTTCCTCGGGTCCGGCAACATCCGATGCTTCCTCGATTGCGGGCGATGTTGGGCCTCGGCATCGTGGGCATCTGCGGCGTACTTGTCTCTGTGGCCCGATTCCGGTAGGGACTGTATGAGAGCTTGGGGAGGCGTATGCGGTGAATTTCCACTTTGGCCCCGCGTGAAGCGGACAGCGTTGCGTTCAGCACTCTCACCATTGATGTGCGTCGCTATCAATATGATGGCCCAAACGAACGTGATGGTAGGGATCACCCAAGCGCTCGCTAAGAACATTTGCAGAGTGTCGCCACTGAACCAGATGACGGAGACCAGCCCCGTACCGAGCGCCAGGAGAAGAATAATGGCAAAGCGTGTGATCGGCCAGATCTTGAGATGTGTCGTCCGAGAGACGATGGCCAGGACGGTCATGAAGAAGATGGTGCAGCCAGCGGCAATATACCCGTAAGCAAACTACGTATTGTCAATACCAAAGACTGGGGCGATTGGCTGGAAATGCTCTAAACATACCACCAACCTGTAACGACCCCATGTTTTATCGTGAACAAGTTTCTGGTACCCGCCTCCTTTGACGTCCTTATTGGGTTCTTTGTCGGCAATGTCGCTGTCAAGGTTGATTCCAAATGCAGCAAAAAGGGCATTGGCCATTGAAAGGAACAGAATGCGAATTGCACTTGTTAACATTGACGTCCATTCCTGTACGTCCGGGAGGTTGCTCGGCGGATCCAGGTTAAAACCTGATGAGTTGAGGATCTGGCCCCAGACGCTTTCTGGAATTTTGGTAATATTGTTAAGCGCATTGTTTACTGTATCCAAGGTGCCGGCAATCCTTGGGGGGTAGTCCGTAAAGAACAGTTGGATTGATGCGTTCAAGCCGTCGCGGATGGCTGCACCGGTTGATGTCACATTAGCGTCGGGGTCGTCGTGAGACAGGCTGGAAATGTCGAGGACGCGATTATACTGTGTCACAATCTTGGACCAGATGAGGTACTGTGTGAAGGCCTGCATAAACAAAACGAGAGCGAGGTGAAATGGGAGGTGGAGAGATGCCCAAAACTGCTGCCGAAGGGGAGGCAAGTAGAAGGTAGATCTCATCCAGTCGAAGTAGATCAATAGGATGAAATAGATTGTCGCAACCGACGCCGTAAGAAGACTGATGGTTCTCGAATCTGTTGGGGGTTAGTGCATGTCTACAGGCTATGAAGCTTGCAACCGCGACTTACCCCAGGCACCTGGGTTCTTTACGATCGTCACAACGTCTTTAGCCACCTGGATCATGCCATCACCCATGATCATGACAGTCAAGAGAGTCATCCGCTTCATGAGATGGGTCTGGGTGAGAGCGAGGACTGGAGTGAGGTTGGAAAGAATGATGCTGCCGATCGCCTCGGCACCTGAGATGAAGTACCAGGTCATATATATCCGACTCCCAGCCCCTTGCTTGAAACCAAAGGTGATCCCGAGGTAGACAGCTGAGGCCGCAGCATGAAGTGCAACCTGTAGATACAAAAGTGAAGTTTTCTTGCACTTTCTCACATGCCATAGCGTGCTAGCGTACTCGATTGTCAGGCATGCTCGCGACACCATAAGAATAATTGCTGCGAGGATCAGCCAGTGTCTTCAGTAGTATGCAACTATCTCACAAGGGCAAAGGCTGGAGCTCCTTGATAGCACACTTACACATGGCGCGCATCGTATCGTGGTGCTGGTCCGTGGGGTCGAACTTGGGGACAACAACCGCAAAGCCAACCAACACACCAAGCTGCACGGCCCTGGTAACTCGGGCTGACTTAATGGTCAGTTCGGCCTGGCGTTTTGCGACGTTTCTATATGAGTTGGTGCCGTACCAAAGACACTGTCCGTGATGTAGCGGACATCAAAAAGCGCTACAAGGAACCATGTGAGCCACAGGAGGCTGGTGGTAGGTGGAAGGTCAGCATCCAGGGAAGGAGCTTAAGGAGCGCCAGTGGGGTCAATATACCAGAAATACCCGACCAATGCTTTGAACTTTGCATGGTTGGTGACTTGCTGATTGTCAGAGAAGACATTATAATTTGCGGCGAAGAAGAGATCGAAAAAAATTTCAAGCAATGTTGGCTCCTTGTACTAGTTATATATAGGACACGCGGAACGTTAGCTGTGGATGCCGATTGCCGAACGATGAATAGCGGGCGTTTGGGGTCGCACTCGTTTGAATTGCGGAAATTCTTCGTCATGGTCACGGCCATCGCGGAGCTTGCTATCGTTACTCTTGATACGACTTTCGTCGGTTTCCTATAATTGGCTACGGCCACCACTCACAAGCGGGCCGGTGAACAGGCGCAGCTTACTATGGTAGTGGTGCTGCTGATGATGGTTGTGATGCTGCATATTGCTGTTCGGGCGCAATCGGTGATTTCTAATATATATGCGGCAGGTGGGCCGCTGTCCAAGCTCTGTCAGAGTCGTGCGACAGGATATGACTCTTTTGTCTCGGTGTCGCGAGCGAGTTCGCCAGCTGTTATTTATGACTGATCAGTGATCACCAATTGCACAGCATTGCTCCGCGAGTGGGGCGCTGGAACCTCTTGCGGAGTGATTGGGGCGCAGCGAAAGTGGCAGCAAGAGACAGGCGCACGGTTGACCACACGTCAGACATCTCGCGCAGCGCCAAGTGGCCGTCACCCATCAGTGCTTGTCTGGCAGGGAGATG